TTTTTGCCATTAGAACTATAATGTAATTCTAACCGTTAAAGTAACATTGTATTTGTATTAACTAGAATTATAATTGTAATTTCAATTAAATTTATCAGTACTCGTTGTTTCCTGCACCTTGAGGGAGACGCATTATTTTTTTTTTTTTCTATTATATAAAATACTGTCCTCAGAAAAAAATGTCTCTAGACATGATTCTGTCTCCAAAATTAATGGATGAGGTGAACAGAAATAATCTTGGAACAGCCTTTGGGCAAGTGCTGCGAGTATGCGAAATGTAAGACTGTAATTAAACTTCGACCATCCTGGAGACTACACTTTCTTAGAATATTGCCATTCGACAAATTATAAGACCTTCCATTTATCTTTAAAGTTTAAGCTATCTGTTATTGACTGAGAAAAGCTGGTAATTCATTGTAGTTACTTTGTAGTTAAAACTACAACTAATGCAGTTATAATTGTAATTGTGCCGCCCAGATGGTATAGTGGTTAGGGAAGCCTGACTGCGATACCGAAGGGCCTGGGTTCGAATCCCGGAGAAGGCATGGCTTTAACTGTTCGTCCTTTCATAGGAGGCGATAGTGGCCCACATATTAGATGCCTCCATAATAAAGTGACTGCAACTTCTGGCCTTGTATAGACTAATGGACTGTGTTGCACTGTAACTGTTCCCAATCTGCCATTGGGAAAAATAATAATAATAATTGTAATACAATGATTGTTCGAATTACAATATAACTTCAAAAGCAATTAGATTTTTCGCTCAGCAGAGTAATAAGTCGTCTTTTGAATACTACTAGTTCAAATCGGATGCCCATTTTGGCAAACAATCTAAATGTTTAGATAGCTCCGTGGATTTCCTTATGTGTAACATGAATACAAATCATTTTATTTTAGAAAGTTCTCTATGAGTACATCATTCTTCTTAAACGTTTCGTTGCATTCAATTAAATAAAGATCTTTTCTTTTCTTTTTCTGCTTTTATTAACGGGTGATGTGAACATGAGCCAGTTTCCCTTAGAAAGTCCTCCACAGAAGCATCTTTGCAGTCTTTACCGTAATCCAAATAATATGACAATCACAGGTGCATAAGAAAATTGTACTTTTATTTGTTCTTACGTGAAACAATGATGGAAAATAGTTCATGCAAGTACTTTCACTTGTAACTGAATAATGCATTTTAACTATTTATGGAAAAATGTGTGTTATGTTGAATAAAAGACCAATTCGTAATTTTTTTTTTTCCAATGGCAGGTAGTAGCCGTTTATAGACATTGATCACTACTAAGGCCGGTCATGTTATTAAGGAGGGAACTAACTATACGTGGGCCACCGTTGCCACCTATGAAGAGGACGAACAAATTACATTCATGCCCTATCCGGGATTCGAACCCAGGCTCTTCGGTACGGCAACCAGAGTCACGAACCGCTTTACTGTCTGGGCGGTAATTCATAATAAATGGATTTAGTAAAATGTCTAATACACACAGCAATTAAGCATACTGATTGCTGATCAGAATCCTTTTTTACCAGCTAAAGCAATAGGTTGGATAAAATTATGAGACTTAGTTTAGTCCTTGATGATCTCCTTTCTGAAAAGAAAAGGATAAATGTAATTTTTATGATTTATTTCTTGTGTAATGTAAACAAGACAAGCGTCCCGTAACAAATCCTTTGCGAAAACATCCCTTTGCACTGGCATAAACTCTTTGCTTGCTTTGCCTTAATCTTGTAATTTAAATTCACATGTATATCGAAGAAGATCATAAACATACATATTTGCTTACTAACGTTATGTGCATTTCGGTCTATATAAAATATTTCCTTTAAATAAACTCCTATTTATGCTGGTACCACAAACTACAATATATGTAAGATGATTCAGAAGACATGACAGAAAATATTAATATTTTTCTTATAGGTGATTATCCCGTTGTATTATTTAAAAACTCATTATCCAAAATGCAGAAACATTTCGAATATAATATTATTGACTGTAATTTTCAAATATTATCACGATTTCCTTGGCCTATGTCACTGGAATTATAAGGGGAAATTGCAGTTGTTTTTCTGATTAAATAGTTACAATCATCTGCTGCGCAATTTTAATTAAGAGGTCATTACAATTGCATTGTAATTTTTATTAGATTATATAATTACAGTTATACTGTTTATTCAATTAGATTTCACAATTAAAATGCAATTTGCATTAAAATTGTATATGTAATTAAAAATTGTTACATTGTAATTACAAGATAATTGCATAATATTATTCCAATTACTATGTGTTTTCAATTGCATTCTGCAATTACATTTGCAATTAAGATCATGATTTTCCTGGGCTACGTAACTGCTTTTATCAGAAACAATTGCTATCCTAATTACATTATTATATTTACTGGAGTTACAATTACAGTGTAATTGTAATTATATTATATGTCTGCAATTAGATTATGAAATTGCAACAAATACAGAATAACTGTAATTTAAATGAAATTACATAAATTGTAATTGTAATTTAAAAACAGCTACTTTTTAACTACAACTACTTAGTAACTGCATAATTTTATTACAATTACAATTATGATCTTGATTTCACTAGGTTAAGTAATTCCAATTATCAGAGACTATTACTTTCCTAATTACATAGTTATAATTACTTACTGCAATTGCAGTTAAAATTATGTTGTAATTAGCTAATATAATAAAAATATATTTGCAATTACAGTTTTATTGTAGTTGTGATTAGATGCAATAAAATTTATAAATGCAATTAGATTATATAATTATAATCTTTCTGATTATCATTGCATTGTAATTGTAAATAGATTTAAGAATTAAAATGCAATTACATACATTACTGTTAAAATGAAAAAATTAAAATTTTATGTTCTAATTGTAATTGCAAAGTAATTGCATAAGCTAATTACAATTGCAATGTAATTGAAATCACGTTTCAAAATATTATTGCAATCACAATTACTGTTTCTTGCAATTTTAATTGTAATTCCAATTACAATTTGCCAAACTGTATCTAAAATTTGGAGAATAATTAGGCTGGAAAATGAAAATTCTCTTTATGTACATAAACATTTAAGTTAATTATAGCTGGTATAAGCACAGAACAGCTGGAAGTTTTAACTGAGCTATTTATTCTGAGTTGTTATTCAAAACCTAACAATAAAACCCATTTGCCCCTAGCAAATAGTTAGTTTCCTCTTATCAGTTACCTATTGCACAGAAAAATTATCACCTGTCAGTTTACGTTAAGAGCAGAGAGGGCACTCTGAGACAGGAAGCATATATGCTGCTTTGCTGTTTCGTGCCAAAATTTATGCTTACGTATATATCCTGCCATGCCCTTATGAGGACCAAAATATTTAGACGCATATATACGGCCTTGCCGCTTGGAGGGCTAAAGGCTGAAGGCAAAGATGAATTGGAATTAGGGTTGTTAACTAGAAGCAGAAAGATTTTTTGGAATGTGAAACGCCTCTAGAAAATCTTAATTCACCAATAGAAGATTATTTTAAAAATAATTTTGGCTGAAGAAAATGGAAAATGTAATTTTCTGACCAACAGTGCTGGGCAACAGAGGACTTCTGTGTTCTTTTTTCTCACATATGTTTCATGTTCCTTACACAAAATTTTAAGGCTCTCTTAGTTTGTCCAATGTAAATTAAACCACACCGACAAGGAATGCTGTAAATAACCCCAGGAATTCATATCCGGAAAGGGGTCCTTGAGTATGGAACTCGGAATTTTATCGATGGAAGAATAAACAACCCAAAAGTTAAATTTCTGCAAAATACATGCAACTTTATAGCTAATTGATGGAAAGAAGGGAATGACAACAGAATTTTTATAATCTCCTAAAACAAGAGTGTGCCTTTCGGTGTGTTGAGATGAAATTTTTTTAACTGCTTGATTTAATAATGTTGGGTGAAAAGCCCCCTGTCAATAGCTATTGCTTTTAAATAATTTAGTTCTTCATCAAGAGATAGTCTGGAGGAACAAACTTGAAGAGCACGGAAAACATAGGAATAAAATGAAGCTAACTTTTGTTTAGTCGGATGACATGATTTGAAGTGCGGTGGAAGGCAAACCAATGAAGGTTTACGGTAAACAATAGTACTAAAGTTGAATGTGTTACGTGTGACCAGAATGTCGAGAAACGGAAGAGAATTGCAAGTCTCAAGTTCAAAAGTGAACTGGATAGCAAGATCAATGGAATTCATTGCTGAAAGAACTCTATTTAAATCATCTTTATTACCTTCAAACAGGGTAAAAGTATCGTCTACATAGCGGAACTATACCGGGGGAATTTTTAATAATAATGCATGTAGATATCAGGCAGGCAGGATGGGACTGATGGGGCTTCCCATGCCTAATCCCTCAGTCTGCTTGTAATATTTATTTTGGAAAACAAAATGTGTTTGTTTCAAACAGAGTTGTGTGAGAGAAATTAGCTCATTAATTTCGATGCAAGAGAAATGAAATTCATGAAGTCTAGTTTGTAGACATCTTAACACACCCTCCACTGGAACATTGGTGAATAATGATTTTACATCAAAAGAAACCATAAGTAAACTTCTAGGAGAAATGTTTTAAACCTCTTTTACAAACTCTATTGAATTTTTTATGGTGTAAATGTTATTGCCTAATCGAGTTGAAAATCTAGAAACTAAATATTTAGTTAACAGATATGAGACAGTACGTAAATTTGACAAAATAGGGTAGAAAGGAATACCACTTTTATGAATTTCGGGAACAGCATATAATCTGGCAATAAGAAGAATCTGGAAGAGCATATAATGCTATACCTGGCACAATTCGCAGAAGATGGGATAAGCAAATGTTTTAAGTTGCTTGAAAGGATTTGTGAAGATTTTATTGCAGGGTTTTTTTTTTTTTTTATTTCTAAATTAATATTTGTTTCGCGTGTTATTGTATCTTAGGTATATCAGTTGTTCACTCACCCATTTCAGCAAATACTGCAATTTTTACATCAGCCTCAAAAGATTCAAATGCTCGTGTTCGGGCATAATCAGGAAATTTAAGTTTGAATGCCTGTAAAAAAAATTTTCAATTATTGATATATTGCAGCCCTGAAGTCAATATCATAAAGAATAAATGTATGTAATTTTTCATAGATCATTACATCATAATGCACACTTTGCACAAATCAAATACAAAATGCTATGATCTCTACACAGACACTATCCATGCACATACATACCTGGATACAATCCATTGCTTCTTTCATCCAGCGCAGCTTATGCAAGCATTGAGCTAACCGAAAATGTGCCTTCAAATACTCTGGATTTAATTTGATAGCGGCATGGCAATCACGAATTGCAGCATAATAATCACCATCCCTAATATTAATAATAAATAAGATTATTACAGATTTGCAATTACATGCGATACACAGATTTAATATGTTTGTGCATAATACATACCCATTATAAAAGCATAATAAAAGTCGAGAGGACAAGCCTAAATAATTACATTACCTAAGGATAACAAGGAAACATTTACACAAATTTACACAGATGCTTACCATCCACGCTTGATGTATGCTGCAGCTCTATTGCCAAAAAGACATGCTCCCTTTGGATACATTATAATGCCTTTACTATACAAACCAATAGCCAGAGTATACAACTGTTTCTCAAATGCTTCATTTGCCATTTTTTTCAGCTTTTCAATATCAGGAGGTAAAGATTGAGAACTGAAATAAAAGGGTAGTTTTACTGCCTATAAATTATTTATTGTAGCTGTTCTTTTCAATATTCAAAAATTGTCATTAAAAAATTATAAAAGTATAAAAAATTGAAATATGCACTCTATTTGAGATTCTTATTGAATAATTATTTTTATTTAAATATAAGGAAAAAAATAGGAGAGAAGATAAATGTAAAAATTAATGAAATTGCATCAAGAACCATTTAATGATAAACAGTAAAATATGCTTTAATGATAAAATGTAGAAGTTGCCAAAACAAATTCCACACAAAAGAATTTCAAAAAGTCTTGAATAAATTAAAGCCACTGCAAATAAAAGGCCTTACTTGACAATAAGCCAATCATCTTTATATTTTATAATGGGAACTGTAACACACACAGCAACATGCATGTGGTATTATCTCAGCTAACATCTGCAAGCATGTTTAGATACTTTTTTGGTATGTAGCCATTCAAGCAGTAGCTTTTAGCACATTATTAATAAACGGCATATGAAAAAGAAAAATATGAAAATTCTGCTCCAAATGGGGTAAAATCAATAATGGGAAGATGAAAATATTGAATGATGGTGAAAGAATTGGATATTTAATTGTGAAACTGCTAGAACCATTGCCACCAAGGAGTTAGGCACACAGAAAATTTGTGCACTGTTTCTCCCTCACCACATATTGAAGAACAAAAGCAATAGAAAATAGAATTATGTGTCAGCTTCCTCAGCATGGTATATAGCTGTTATTACAGTCCATCGTAACTGAAAATGAAAAATGGTGCTTCCAATACAATCGAGAAACTAGATACAAAAGCAAGGAAAACCAAATAAAATTAAATTGAATTACTGAATAACAAAATTAAATTGAAATGCAGTTTGATCAAGTAAACAGAAATTATTCATATCGATGTAATCTTTAGTTCAAGGAATTTCATTTACTTTGAATTTTGATTTACAGCTTCATTCATGTTACTTGATGCTTGGAAAAACAATCAAATTCATTTTCATGGAATGAGAATGATTGTTTATGCCAATTAAAAAACAGTTTACTAATTTCAAACAATACATACTCTATATTTGAAAATAATATATTTTAAAATACATAGCAAAAATTTAATTATCATTACCACTTCTTAGAATAATCCGATTGTTCTGGTAGAGATGAAGATGCAGATACATCTTGACAAAAGCGAGACGCATACACTCCATTTGTTGTCATACCATTAGTTGTACCGTTTTTAGGAGATGCACCCTCATCTGAATGGCAGAATTTATCTGAAAAATAATAGAAAAAGTACACTTTGGAAGTATACGTGATTAATGCTGGATATGCATGTAATTAATAATAATGCACTCTTTGTCCACATTCCAGATTTAAGAGCAGAGGGTTGAAAATTCAGTACCATTATCATTCAAATACATGTTTGTAGCAATAAAAAGCATAGTACAAAGTAAACATTTATATTTTTGCACAACACTCACACCTTATGAAACTTTGCATCACTCGAAACAGATCACCAGCATCTTCATATCACTGCTGAGTTTTATGTCTCAAGTATGCCATCGCCTTTGTATGGTGGCAAGGGGATCTGGCTGTCATAGAATCTTCAAGATGGCATGGATGTCTGTAAATGTACAGTTTGAATCCCAGAGAAAGCATGAATGATTTCATGTGTATAGAGCCTTTTGGTCATATGTGGAGGCATTCAAAATAATGTTGAGCCCAAAAGTCCTCTCAAGGGGTTGGTGGTAGGGGAAGATAGATAGAAGAATCTGTTTTATCCCCTTGGATATCTACCATAAAAAACTGGATTCACACAATACCCCCTGTGGTGCACCCTGGACAATATTCTCAGTGATGAGACAGCTAAATGGTTGGTTGTTTGATTGGTTAGATTTTTCGGCACACAACCTGAAAGGTTATGTCTGCCAGATATGTGCCAAATACTTCCAAACACAATTTTAGAAACAGAACACACAAAATCAGATGGAGACAACTAAATAGCTGATGGGTTTGGCCCATTCCAAACGAGTACATCTAAGTTACAAGTGTCTAGGCATTTGAAATATCAGTATTTATAGTAAAAAATATTTCTACTGTTACTAAACTATATATCTAGGGATATCTCTCCCTAGATATGTATATATCTAGGGAGGATATTGTGCAATGTAATAAAACATAACACAGTACTATATTGCAATATGTTTATATTAGCTGAATGAGCATCATAATGCATAAACATTGTTTGTACTGTATCATATTTCTTGTCAAAAAAGGGAAGCAGCTACTGAAATAATTCGCGGTTTCTATGACAAATACAGATACTCAAGTTGTTTATCTAAATTCTCTAAAATTACTTACTTTGTAGTGCTGATAGCAGAACATAAGTGATCTTATAATGCATGAGATAAGTTTCTTAATTGCATCAAACTGCTATAAAAGTACTGCTTTAAACATAAAAGCAAACAAGTTGATATACATTAAGCAAAAGCTACATAATAATTTACTCTAAGCATATACCTTTTTTCAACATGATTATCTTGTCTATATTTAATGACTTTAGTTTAAATATAAGATAAACTAGTAATTTCTAAAACATTACTACAGGAAATTCTAAATCTTTTAATGTGTGTAAAACAACAAAAACTTCAACACATGATTACAAAATGGAAAATTATTATTCACACCAAATGAACTCATATTAGCTAAACAAAAAACCACGGCTATACTATAATCAACACAAAAATGCATGAAAAATTATGAAACCTGTCAGCTATTAAGGGAAAAAAACATTGAATAGCAACTAATTTTAAAGGAGGCACAAGAAAGTAATTAACAGCTTTGTTTGAAACAAAATGTATAGTACTAACCAAAATTCATTGTCAACCGTGTTTAGTGTATGCTAGATGCCCTGAGCACGCAGATGATGCAACACTCTTGCAGTCAATTTTTAGAGAGTCAAATAAAGCACATAATGAGAAGTGCAAAGGGTGGTCACCAGTCGTTACCTTGTAGGATGAACACAACTTCACATTTAAGAGAATTCTTGCTTCATTTTTACGAAACTCTGCAGCCTATCATGGAGCGTCAGGCAGATATCCAAACATGAAGCAAAGAGCATCAGTTCAGCGCCAATATTTCTGCAGAAATATCATGACGACAGCAACAACTTTCTAGACTATATCATCACTAACATTAAAACATGGATTGTACACTTTACTCCAGATATCAAGCAATATATTGGCATCGTAATAGATTTCCAACAAGATGAAACTTAAGTAGATCATTTTGGCATGGAAAGTGATATGAACTGTATTCTGCGGCAGAGGAATGTTCTGTTCATTATTAAGTGCCTAACCAATGGAGAGAGCATGAACATTGAATCTTACTCTCAAATATTGTGATAACTGCAATGGGCTATTAAACAAAATGGCATTGTGTTTTGTCTTGTTGCATCAGCATTACATGGCAGAATTCTAAGGATTCACAGGGATCTAAAAATTTATGCCATGATATGACAGATGTGTTAATTGCGATGGAGTTTATGTTAAAATGTAACTGAACAATTGCTGTATTTGCTGGAATACATCTTTCCACAAAACTATGCTATAAAAGGTCTCAGTGTCACCCTTTCATACATCATCAAACTTGGCATGAAACCTCCGAATTACAGCCAAAACATTGGCGCACTGTTAGCCAAGAACAGCCTAAAATTGGATTCAAATAATGACGACTTACCACATATATGACATGAAATACGATACTCCTTTCCATAAAAAGTCCGTCACAAAGAGTTTCCCTTCTTAGGTACACAGCCCTCATGTGCTTTGCTTTAATTTGTTAAACAATAACAACAACAAAATAGCAGCTGTAACACACTTGGTGATCGAAGTTCGAAGAGACATAAAACAAAGCACAAGAGACACAAATGCATCAGACTTTTAGATGTGTCGAAGAATTATCCCACGTTACTGTGAAATACCAATAGTTCTCTAGTGGTTCTTTCATCTATGAAAAGAATTTGAAAGAATTAAGTGGACATGGCACAGGAGAAAAGAATTCTCTGATTAAAAAGAGTTCAAGGGGATTTTACAAGATGGTTAAAAGTTTTATATTACATACATATAAAGGGTTGAAAGAAAAGTTCATATGCACCCATTTCATTTCAGAAGGAAAAATCGCTAATAACAATATATCTAGAAAGGTAAGAATGTCAAACTGAAAAGAAGTGATTATAGTGTTTCCTAACAAAAAATTAGAGGTTGCCAAATCATTCTCTGTAATCAAGGAAGACAAAAGCAAATACCCAGTTACAAAGTTGTATAGCATCATCTAACTACTGTGAACTGGCACTCAGAAATACAACAATATGCAATAATGACCAGCTACATATCACTGTATATAAATCAATTACAGAATTGTGTTTAGAGAAATTGATACAGTTTAGTTAACTTGTTGAAAAAATACTGTACAGTACAAAGTCAGAGATCCGGATGTCCAATATCCAGAATGATATAAAATCTGGACAACAAAGCAATCGCCAAATTTTTATTTATTAATTAATTTATTTATTTAGTGTATGTGTGCTTTATGCATAAACATCTGACCCCTCCCTCCCCCGCACATGTGTAGAGTCCCGATTCTTAATTTCACTTCGGCACTAAATACACTGGTGTACAAAACTTTAGCAACAATATAAATTTTAATCAGATAGCCACGAAATTGCAAAAAAGAGGTTCTTGCGATGAGTACAATGAACACACAATTCAGTAGAAAGTCCATACGTATGCAAATGTCAAGAACAAAACGTCACAGGCGACATGAGTGTATGCAAAACACGTGCGGTCAGCAGGCTGACGTCTACAATAAAAGAAAGGACGTAGACGCAATTAAAGACATTCACTGCAAGTACAAGTGAGTTCTTTCGTGAAATATGGTTAGAAGGAAATCACCTGGATGACTTCACACCTGGAAGAATGATGGAAAAGCTGGAGAAGAGGCGTAATATGACCAGTTAGCTGAAGAGTTTGGGATGAACAAAAGCGTCGTTTTGCACGCTTGGAAAACCTTCCAAATCATAAGTACAGCTGTTAGAAAGGTTGGTGGTGGCCGTCCCAGGAAAACAACTGCAGTGGATGACCGATATATCGTCCTGCAGGTAAAAAGAGCCCAAAACCAGTCAGCAAGCACCATAGCTCAACAACTGTATACAGTAACGAGGCGACAAGTGTTGCGGTTTATCGTGTCCAGACGCCTTCACAAAGTAGCCTATTCGCCCGCCATCCTTTATGCTGCATCCCTTTTAAAGTTCGCCATCGACGACACCGTTCAGAATGGTGCAAGGAGCATGAAAACTGCGCATTTGGAGAGAGGTTGGTTTCATCCCAGTAATGGTTTCATTCCAGGATCCCAGGATAGTTTCATTCCAGTAACATCATGGAAAGAGACGGTTATGGTGGTCCTGGAGATTTTGTCTGGGGAGGCATTATGCTGAACGGGTGCACAGAGCTCCCTATTTACGACAGAGTTTCTGTAACCGGAGATCGCTATTGTCAGGAGGTGATCCTTCCCCATAAGCGTCTGTTCTATGGTGCCATCGGAGCAGACTGATTTTATGGATGACAATGCACAGCTAACAACGGACTCTTGCTGTTCAGAAGCTAGCAAAAAGTGAAGATATCACTCGAAAGGATTGGTCAGCATACTCCCCTTATTTAAATCCAATAGAACATGTGTGGAATGCTTTGGGGAGATGGCTTGCGGCCAGATTACCTTCTCCGGGAACACCAAACTGAAACAGTGATTGAAGAATGGACACCCTTACCTCAAGATCTGTCAAGACAGTCTGGTGCTGAGTATGGAGAGATGGTGCGAAGCAACCATTGCAGTAATGGGAGGGCATATCCCATGCTAAGGAATATCTGCTTGTTGTTCTTCCTCTTGTACAGACAGTCATGTGTAACGATACTATGAGTTCAATAAAGCCTTTTTTGTTTGATTCCATACTGTATGCATTGTATTCATTTTTGTGCACCCATGGTTTTACCATCATTAAAGATACAAACTGCTGTCTCACATTTCTGAATTTCATGTCTCTCATATTTCTCGTGGAGTTATGGCAAAAAGAACACCTGTTGCTTAAGTTTTGCACACCAGTGTAAAATACCTCGTTATTGAAGAATCATTCATTTTAGCATAAATTTGTTTAACTTCGCTCTGTAGGTGCGTGTCTGCTTGGCATACATCTCAAACCGAAACATTCTACATAGATACATCGTTGATTTTCCACCTACTAATATTTTATATCCCTGGCGAAAACCTGGCAAATCATTTATTACATTTTGCTTTCATCACCGCATGTTTGTCAACAGATGACAACTTGAGTTATGACTCATGTAGGGACGCCTAAACAATTTTTTTATATTAGCAATTAAATAACAAAGAGTATAATAACCTTTTATGTTCATATTACATTTGGCAGTGATTACACATAATGCGCTAAAAACTATTGACAGAGAAAATTTAACAAACATTTCTTTCCATACGCTAAAAATAAATTTTGTTAATGATACTCGTAGGCTAAAAGATTACATTTAGTGCTATTTGAATTAAGCGGCCACACCGAGCGGCAGAATTTAGAGAAGACAAAGGGAGGTGCTTGGTAGCATGAATTTAGGACCCGCAGAGACTGCATCAGGCAGTAAGATTTCTAGTGCCGGTCCTCAATAATCCTCAAGTATATGTATATGTAGTATTTTATGGACTCAGATAAGCCTTAAGCATGTGCAAGCAATAGGCATAAGCATAATAAATAGCTAATACAAATTCAGGCTTAATTGTCTCTGCACGATAGAAGCAAAAAATTTAGCAGAACAACTTATCTGTAATCACCAATCTCATGATACATAGCCAAATATGTATAGTGAACTATAGCTAAATTTTATGATGATAGCCATGAATCTGAAGGTTTCGGACATCGCAAATTTGAGGAAATTTGTGCAAATTTGTGGATAATGTGAAGAAGCGATAATATATGAAGATGATATAAAAGAAGTTTTTCATTGTGATGACAATGCTCCTCAATCATCCAGAAAATACCGCTACCGGTAGTGAAGAAAGTGCCAGAGAGTTTACTGAAAGCAAAAAAAATTTCGATTGACAAATTAGTCGAAATTTTCGACATTGCAATTACAGGATTTCAACAACGGAACTTTGTAACTGAACAAGAAATTTTGGTTTAATCCTAGTACACAGTACACACAAGATTTGCCGACATTATTATGAGCTATAAAAGCAACATTTATGATGAGCAGTAAGCGGGTCATTTTGGTGTGGGGTGACAGTTTTCAAAATTGCATCAAAGCGGTACCGTATACTAGGATTTTACCAAAATTCTGTCTGTCTACAGAGTTAATGGGAAAGTATTAGTACAAAAAATGAAGCAACTTAAAGAACTTGAAAGAAATATTTAATAAAGTAAATAAATAAATATTAAGCTATTTTCATAAATTTTGATACCCTTTAAATAATAAATGCTTCATTACTTCATAATTCACGAGTCTGTATTTTTAATTTTATTATTACTACATGCCATCTTACTAGATTTAAACTGATGATCTAATATCCAGAAAAAAACCCAAATCCAAAATCGCGGAAGTCCCGACGAGCTCGGACTTTGTACCGTAATGTACACTACAGATGCTTTTGAAGGATTAGATAATTATTCTCTTAAACTTTCCATAAAAAATTTCACAATTAGCTTAACATAAAATGCAAATATATAATTATCACATAGACATCCATAATGAGCAACACACTCACAGATCCTCAATCTTGGAGTGACATCAACTCACTCCAAGATTTTTTTTATATAAAAAATTTATCTCACATATTCATATACATTCTGAAGATAATAAGAAACATACCTAGGAGTATAAAAAAGAAAGTGAGATTGTATACACTGTTGAAAGTAGCATGAAAATATAGTTAAAATGCTACCATGTTCCTTCAGTTTTAAGATGAGTTATAAAATTAGCTGTAAACGGAATGAGTCTTAGATTGACAACTCCTCTCACAACCAAGATGTGCTGAATTGGTAGTGATTCCTAGTACCACAATAAACTAACTGAAAACACTCAACTTTTATAGATCACAAATAAATTAATTACCTGAGAAAGGTGAATGAATCCTGGCTATTAACTGATGATATTCCGATGACACCTTTCAAAAGAATATATGAGGTATAGCATCAAAATTAAAATGGATATCAATAGCTTAGTAGCTGATCACAAAAAGGAACAGTGTGGCATCATTTAAAAAATGCTGTGTCATCATACTCTGAATGCCTTAGAAAACTTAAAGAAATAAAGAATTCTTTTTAGTTCTTTACATACAGAAGTTAAGTAAGTATTCAAGCTGTTTAAGTTGTCAAATTGTGAACCACTTAGTTTTTGAAGTCTGTTATAACATCTCACAGTTTTAGCCTCAAGGTTAACCATTACTTTCTACAGTCAGTACAAATTAACTTAGTGGATGTTTGAAGTATTTTTATTTAGCTGTAGTCCAATTCACCTCATTTAGTGGCTTCAGTAAATTTCAGACGCAGAAAGGAGTGTTACTTCATAATAAAATTTTCTACAAATTATGAAATGAACTTTTTTCATTTCAGATAGCAAACCATTATAGCATTAGAAAAACATGACAGAAAGTGATGAATGGTTGAAGATATGAATAATGCAGTGCAAAGCAATTTTCATTAGTTAGATGGGATATTTGACTGCTTCAGATCAGTTTAACATAGCACAACTGCCTCTAGAAATTTTATAAAATTAAACTTTAGGAAATTAAAAAAAAAACCTCTTCAATATGAAATAAGTAAACAGAATGGAAATATTAAAATATATTTATTATATTCCCATGGAAAATGGCATGATACCCATAAACTAAATTTTAATTGTATTTTAGTAATATTTTATGTTTCTAATCAATGCAAATTATTCATTAATGAACAAGATATCCAATGGTATTCAATCGCCCTAATTTCTGACTGATGGTCAATTTTAAATTTTAGCCCATTCCATGTCACATTTCCTTACCTGTTAATTAAAAGGCACTGTTGTTTCTAGCATAGATAAAAAATATTCATGAGATATACACTGCTTGATGCTGAATGCATCCCACCAATAAAGATGCATATTAAATGCAGTAAATAAATACAAATAGAAAAGGATTTGTTTTGATTTTATTTTTAGCCATGCACAGTGTTTAGAAGGAAATAATGTAGCACAATATGAACACCTCAGTATGAGATCTGAAAATATCCCCTATACTTCTCCCTGCAAAAGCATGTTTCAAAGCTTTAGCTTGGGACCCTGAGACGTTACTGGCTGTGGATTAACATCATTTGCACATTATCAGGGGAAAAATCCACCCTAACATTTTCATACTTGGAACACTTTCATACTTTTCAGATGCAGCTATTTCTATGATCAGTCACGTACTTTACCGTTACAATTTATTTACCTGATTTTCTTGCAGTCAACAGTTCTCAAACTGTGGTTAATGATATTGAAATTATGAGCTGTATCTTGCAGCCGAAAGGCATTTAAAAAATAACATGTAAACATGTTATACATATATTCCATTAAACATAAAAAAACTTCAGGTCACAGATACTGCTAAAATTATTATGAACATATAATTTTTACAATTACCTGAATTTTTACATAAACTGCTAGTTCCCTTACTAGCAAAAGAGAAGTCATTAGTATCAAATGACACGTGTTTCCTCTTTGAAAGAATATTAAATAAATATATTTGCTCCCCTCCTAGGTTTGCCAGCAATTCATTGCCATCTGGACTAAAAGCCACATACGTTGAAGTTAAAGTCCTGTATCGTTTTTTGAAATCATCCTGTTTCAAAGGCAAATGTCCTGAAATTAAATTTTAACACTTTTCTTTTGAAACAGTAAATGAAATATAAAAAAAAAAGTATTGATGTTCTTATGGAAATGTCAGTATTATTACCATAAATTTAGATATATCAAAATCTGTCTCTATTTGCAGCCACAAAATCTGTAATATTCATGCATTGTTTCATCAAATTTGAAATATTACTAAGAGTTCATTTTAGAAAAATTAAATATAAATATGATCAGGTATGCACAAAGTACACTAAGCTAAAAAAATGTAACAAGTTTAAAAATAACACTCATTACAAATAATGATCTAATCATTTCTAGCAATAAAAAGCAAAAACAAGAAATATCTGCATAGAAGTAAACATAATCTGAATAGTATACTGGAAGAAGCTGAGCTTCTTGATTCACTAACTGCATTTTCAGATGTCAGCAAAAATAAATAGAGTAAGTTTATACTATTCTGTCAAAGTTCAATTACACATACATATATGCAGTTCAGGGAATGTAGTGAAGATGCTATCATCTTCTCAACATCCATGAAATACTTACCATGAAGCTTATAATACTACCTCTAAATTTAGAAAACAGATATTTAGAGAAACATACCAAATACATAGATCCAAGTCAGCAAATCAATGATACTGGACATTTCTGAACTGCAAGAATCATATAAATATCATACAATCTTGTGAAATTAGACCCTCATAGCATGTACATTTAGATATTCATTTTCATTACTTACAAGAAGGAATACAGTGCAATGAAAGTCTGATAATCCAGAACTTCAGTGACGGTGGATTATAAAACATCCCTAATTATAAAACTAAAACTGTATAATACCAAAAAATCAAAATAGTGTCATTTTCTTCAGCTGTGATTAATAAATTGTCCAAGAGAATACTTCAGCAGAACAGTTTTCAGTAGTTCAGAGTGGTTAGTCATTTGAATCATCACTTTTTCACCTTTGATAAAATTTAGTCTATGATATTTGTCCACAATTTTTGGTAAACTCTTTTTAACACTGTGTTGTTTACATGTTTCTAAAGCAATAGCAACAATGAAAATTGCATCTTTTATACTGAATTCAACTAAGAAGTCCTTTACGCTTGTTTGCAATCAGAGTTACATAAATTTCATAGAAATGAACTTCTATACTTAAATTTCAAGTTTCAAATAATTTCTTGATTCATAGTATCTCATTTCTGATAATTTTTTTAAGTTATGTGCTGCAATTTTATCTCTTTATCAATGTTTTTGCAAGTTTTGAAAACATTGTAAGTAATAGGCAGTGTAAAAGTTTATTAACTATGATTTTTAAACAGGAGATTAAATGAAAATGGCAGAAGAGCACGAAGTAATGCATGTTCCTTTTCATATATTGCTAAATGAAGTTCTAGTAATGCCATCTTATAGGAGAGTTAGGAGTGAAAGGGATGCCAGATTATTTTTTACAACAAGCGATTGGATTCTAAATTACCGGAATTTTACTGTGTTAATGCACATCAGTGTTCAACATTAAGAATTGATATATGTATGGAAGAGCCCAAAATATATCTCAAGCAATTCCCAAAATAGCATAACACTAGACTAAAATATAACAGCAATATCAACCAGAGCTGCGTCAAGATGAGAAAATGATTTCTGATAAAAGTTGCAGTTAATTGATTGTTGTTGGAGATATCATGTCATAAAAAGCATCACAATTAATCAGAACAAAGAGCCTCAAATTGCTCCAAACTTGTAGACAGTTGAAACTTTTACTGCATTATTCTTTTTAGGTACATTTATTATATATGATAATCCAAGCATGGCATGCTACCCAATTTGAAAGTACTTCCTGCCAAATTTTCATAAAGAAATGACATGGTTTCATGCATATAAATTTTGTCACATATATTTCCATATAATACATTATGCAAGAAATGGCACATATTTATAAATGCATTTTCTTACATATGATTTATCATAATTTATACATTGCAAGGTATTCTGCAGTAAATGACAATGTATGAACAGTTCTTTCATTTATTATTTTATTTTTTCTAATGAATCAAAACTCAAAATTGCTTACCAATGACAGATCTTATAAAAAGATATTTCTGCCATTTGAAATACTCTACAGGCTCTTGGAAACAATACTATGAGCAATCCCAAACTCCCCCCCTATACTCGGGCCTTCTTCCAATTTCCCTGTGATGCAAACTCACATAAAATTATCGAAATTATGTCTCTTGAATTGCCTTACACCACCCATGTGTAACCTTCTGACACTTTTTCTCTAAGACTTGTATTATATGTGCACATGCCCTACTGTACCAGTCCCAAGTGTATCTCCTGAATTGGTCTTTTAGTCCATTTTGTGCCTTGTTTCACTCTTAATTTTATGATTTCTCTGTATTGTCTTTAATTTTTATATACAAGTATATTTTGTGATTTACTGGGGGTAACATGTTTTAATTTATAATTTTCTCAAAAATAGTATGCCAAAAGAAAACACTTTTCACACAAGTAATTTAAAAGTTTTCAAATGCTAAAACTATGTCATCAATATTCTCGTTAAGTCTTATTTTTTAGACTTGCGATATAATAATCAAACAAAAAATTCAGTGACCTAGAAGTATTTTTAATTTTTAAGTTACACAAATAGTGTTATGAGTTGGCTATGTGCAAATACTGAAGTCAACCAGCATTTTTTTGACATTAATTCTATAAGATTCTGTGAATGTAGGTGATTGGGAAAACATTGGGGTCAGCAATGGATATCTATCCTGAACTTACTTTCTAGGGTTTCAGTTAATTACGAGGTGCACATCTAATAGATCCCTCCCCCACATCAGCAACAGTGACAAGACTGTGGATTCTCTGACAAAGGCTGCTGCTTTACAGACTCCGTAGTTAGATATGCTTTGCACGTATAGTGACACGTTCTCAGAGCATAAGAAATCACTTAAGGATCTCTGGAATGCCCCTCCAGTACATGACTAATACTCAAGAGTTCACCCTGCTGGTGCCATACTTTTGGGGTGCCACAAAAGCCAGCAGACATACATATCATACTTTGCCAGTGCGCACTTGAGGAGCCTCTCCCATAAACAATGGCAAAAAGCTTTTAAAACCTGCACCAAGTGCAGAGATGCTAAGGCATCACCTGATCATATTTTATTTCACCTTGGACATGTTTTTTTTAAGCATCTTCTCTTTTTAGACTTTTTGGAGATATTTAGACTCATGCGTTTGGCCTTAGCAAACTAAACCACTTTGAGATTAGAAACAACAACAATAATGAATTTAATAGCTTTTGTACCTTAAAAGTACTCCCATACTATATAAATACAATAATATCACATTTTGCATAATGCTTTTCTTCACATCAACTAAAAATTCAAAATCAGAAGCATGCAAGAATTGATTTTCTATGTAATTCAGAAATATTACAGCAATATATTTACTGAAGAATTTTATATCAAATTAACTAATGCACTATAAAATGTGATTTTATAAAATGAATGCATAGTTTACAACTTGGTATAAGCATCTATATGAACTTGTCATTACAGTACTTACAATACTACTTGAAATATAAAATTACATTTCAACAATATAGTCAAAAAATTTTTGCCTTCAGATATCTACACTAGAATTTAAGGTAAGAATACAGAATGTAAAATAAATTATAAAAAAAAATAAATAAAAGATAAATTTGATTTGATGCTATGAATGGATAATAAAAAAATGACTGAAATCACAACTGGGACCGATCATAATGCATGTTTCAGCACTTTTATCAGTTTAAATAATAAACTAAGCAAATCTCACAACTTACCTGCAACAAAGTAAGAAACGCAGCCTGGAGGCAAATTATCCTCTCCTGGCTCCACTGGATCACCTACATATGATGAATCCCATGGAGACCCTGAAGAAGGTTGTTCTCTGGGATACTAAAAGAAAATTCTCATCAACATATTTAAAAATACATAACATTCTATTAACATACAAAATATATTTTTATCACATATATTTATTTTTGCAGAAGCGACAATGCAAAATAAAATTTTGCCTCATAAAGAAATTTTAAAGAAATATAAAAGTTCTATATAAATATGCACTACACCCATGTTAATAACACAGTCAAAAGTCTTTAATCCGGACTCGTCGGGACTTCGGCGATTCTGGATCATCAGTTTAAATCTGGTAAGGTGGCATGCAGAAATTATAAAATTAAAAATATGAAACCATAATTTACGAAATAAAGAGCAATTATGATCTAAAGGGTCTCAAAATTTACAAAAAAAAAAAAAAAAGCTTAACATTTATTTGTTCACTTTATTAAACATTTCTTTCAATGTAAGTTGTTTAAGTTGCTTCGTTTTATGTGCTAATACTTCCTCTCTAATTCTATAAACAGATATCATTTCTTGTTCAGTTACAAAGTTCCGCTGTTCAAGTCCTATAATTGCTGTGTCGAGAATACCGACTAATTTGTCAATCGAAATTTTTTTGTTTTCAATAACCTCTCTGTCGCTTTCTTCACTATCGGACGCAGTACATCGAAACATGCTTTCGCTTTGTAGATGCTTTGGAAGCTCCAGAATCGGAAACTCTTTTTGACATAATCGAAAGTTCAAGCTTATTTTTTATAAAATTGCTTTAACAGTCTGCAAAAAATAATACGCTGGATCCAATCAGAAGATTAAGGAACAACGGAATCTGCAACATTAACTGAAATAGATAATTAGATAATTTTAGCCTAGCTTATACCGTCCGTTATACATTAAACATGGATGCATAAACGCATTATGCGCATGCGTAAATGCGTATGTGCATGCGTAAAGGTATTATGCGTTTGCATAAATGCATTATGCGTTTATACATGCGCAGAAAGTTTGTAGCTTTGAGATCCGGATTATAGATCATTCCGTATTATGGACGTCCGGATTAAAGACTTTTGACTGTATATGATAATTTTTTCCCTCTGAATCATACAGTTTTTTTAAGTTTTTTTAAATATGTAAATTTTGTATTAACTTACCTTATTTTATATTTGGCTTTCCTCTTACACTAATTCAGAAGTCAAACAACAAAAATCAGTGTTATATTTACAAAATTTTCGCAGGACTAGTTTTGATGGTTTTACCGAACCACCATCCTCAGCTGCAAAACCGCAAATGAACAAGATAGGAAATAACGATTAGATAAGATAAGAAAGCCTGGACAAGAATAAGCAAGTGGTGCCATCTATTGTGAAACCAGAACTAAAACATTATTTCTTTAAAGGCCGAAGGCAAAGTTGGATTGTTATTAGGATCGTTAACTAGAACAGAAAGATTTTTATGAATGTGAAATACCTTTAGAAAATCCAGTTCTCCAATGGAAGATGGAACCATTGGAGAACTCCATCTTCCATTGGAGAACTGGCATGCGCACACGCATGTTCTCAGCCGTAACGGTCTTACGCGCACGAGTCAATGCGACGCATGCGCAGAAAGTTTGTAGCTTTGAGGTCCGGATTAGAGATCATTCTGGATTATGGTTGTCCGAATTAACGACTTTTGACTGTATATCTTCCTTTAAGTGCATTTATTTTTGTGACTGTTATGGCAGCTAAATGCCTTTAAGCAGAGAATTTTGAATGTATTGACCACTATTTTATCTCAATACAATCTGTTTGAGCATGTCTAAAATGTGCCCAGTAAGTCAACTGAACTCTGGTAATCTGACCTCTGTTCATTTCTTGGTAAATAGGTTGGTTGCATAAGGTTTCCATTCTTTGTTCTGTGTCATAATGTTTCCAGTCTTTGTTCTGTGTGGCAGCTTCCCATAGGAAGTGTTGCACAAAAGTATCCTTTCCATGGGTACTTATAACTTCTTCAGTTTTTAATTTTTGTTTTTCAATGCTAAGAGTATATCCTTTTTGTTTTGTCTAGCAGTTCCAACCACATCTGTTTAATAAGTCAAAAGGACATCACAAAATTCTTGTGAAGTATAATAATTATCTCAGGTGATGAAGTAACCTTGTTTCAATAATGGCATCATCAGAGTCATAACAACTTGTGAAGGTACCGAGAGAGATCGGAATTTAGGATGAAACAAAGTACCTTTCCCGGTAAATAACCATACATAAATGGAACTAGATTCACTTACCATGTATGCTTTGATACCAAATTTTGCTTTTTTCGAGGGTATGTATTGACACCAGGATAAACATCCTTTGTACAACATCAGCGTTTCATTTATGGTAATATCACTTTTCGGAGTAATTGTTTTTTGATATACTTTATTCAGATGCTCACAGATGGGCCAAATTTTGTAGAGTTTCGGGTTAGCATGATTTTCTGGATCAAAAGAATCATTGTGCACAAAAGGCACGTATTTTTTTTATTTCACAGTATCGATTATACGACATAATCTTACGCAAAAAAGGAGTTTCTACTGTTGTTTTTTTAGTCCAATAAATACTTTCTTCAGTTTTTTTTTTTTAAATCCCTTGTAAAACTGAAAGCGTAAGGAACAAATGTGTGCCGATACAGGTTTCCATTCTCTTCTACCTTTCAGTTTTTCCCCCCTATAACATTTCCAACCAAAATTAAAAATTTATTTAACCTTACAGAGCAATTACAAAACAAAAATATGTTAACAAAACCACATCTGAAAAAATAGCAGTAGTAAATATCCTTGCAACTGGGCCCAAAAGATTATTATCTACTCACATCACACTGAATTTTGTCACAATGTAATTTGCCATTTAAATAAATTATTAAAGCATACTGATTATTGCACTAAGTGGACTTTTCTATATACACCAACTGAGAAGATTTTTAAACTGATGCTGAAATAACTCTCATGACATTAAAAAATGACAAGTTTAACCTCATTTAAAAGGAAGTAAAAATGCCCCGCCCCCAAAAAATTGCTTTACTGTATTGGGCTTTGTATGGGATGTACAAGAGGACACTATCAGTGCTGATATGACATTGCTCCGTTTTTCTTTCTTCTGACACCAGCTGTTACGTTTTCTTTTCCTTCACATTCGTACAGATTTGGAGTGAATAATGACGACACTACTTGATGAAGTATCGAAACACAGTTTATTAGCCAGTATTGTCAGGACAGATCCAAAACACGTTTTACAGTCATCGATGAACCACTATAAACACTCTGACACGATCAGTGACACAACCTTCAGGTTATCAGGCTATCACAGTGGAGACAGCTTCACTGCAATGCACCAGAGTACAGCTCCCGACTCTGCTTGGCCGTTATCGGAACTCTGCGTACTCCCTAGACTCTCCACGCTACAACTCGCAATGTACTCGACGACACGCAGAGCACAAGAATATAGCTCTCGACTCAGCACAGTCTAAGACAATACTCGACAATGCACTAACTCGCGATACACTAAAGGACTCTCTCGATGCACTCAACGACACTCGCGCTAGACTTCGAGACACTTGCTCAATGACTGACTATAAGCTCACTAGACGAGGCACACACTAACTGACTGCGGACCAGAAGGGTTTATAAAGCTTTCGGCTTGTGTTTCAGGACATTCTGGGCTAAACCAGTAAGAATTCGTTCCAGAAGGTTCTCCATCCATCCATGGCATATCGCCAATTTTGTTGCCAAATGTTCCCTTGCCATTTTATGGCAAACCTAAAACTGTTTTGTGGCGAAGCTATCTCACCATACCTGTACATTTCGTAACAATATTTTACAGGCATCACAAATAATGAAAAGGCAAATTTTATTCCTAGCACAAGCGATATGATCCAACTAGATTTTCTTGTTTTTAATTCTGCTGCCTAATTTACTACCTCAAAAATTTTACAGTGCAACTCTATAACATCAAGAAGTGCCAAAAAAAAGTTCCTAAGTTTACATTCTGACGTACCCAAATCTAATTGAGAGATATCAAAATTCCTCATTCGATAGCAAAATATTCTCAAAATTATGAACAAGACAGAGTCTACACATATTCTGAGATGTCAGCACAATAGCTTATGCAACATGCATACTTCTCATAATAGAAAATAACGAAGATGCATACTGTCTGTTAGTTCGCACTAAGTTTGTACACAAGATCAGTTAAACATCATTTAATCTAAATTACTAGCTATTATGCTATACTGCAGTTACGGATACAAGTCCTATGTTAGTTACAGGTATTACATACACAACATTTCCTTTTTTTAATAGAAATAAAAATATTGTATGTACTTTTTTAAATAATAAGGATTTTTAACAGTCCTACCAAATCAAGTATTATACACTGGTGTGCAAAAATTAAGGACGAGACGGTTTTTTCAATACAACTTTGTACAAAAGCTTTCCAAATCAACACATTTAATACCATAAGATCCCAATACGTAAGGACATGAGTAATGTAAGCAACACTACAAAAGAAATCAGAGGGATAAAAAGAAGCTTTATTGAAAAGTAGCATGGAGCACAATGCGACTGGAGGCCAAAACATCCCTGTGATGGGTGTCCAGCAAGAAACACCGGTCTTTAATGGGATATGATCTCCCCTGAGCTAGGGCAGGTTTCACAGCGTCTGCCCATGCTGATAATGGGGGTTTCAATATTTGTTGAGGCTTGCGGCCCATTCGTCTTGCGTGCCATCGAAGCTCCGGAATCGTACTGGTGGTAAGGTACGATCTGCCAAGCGTCTGCCTATAAAATCCCATACTGCTCGATGGGATTGAGATCCGGAGATCGTGCCTGCCAATCCATATGTTCAATATCCTCACTCTCTAAGAGCTGTTCGGAGCTCTGTGCGATGACATGGTGCATTGTCGTCCTGAAAAGGAACTGCGGACCCATGCGCCTCTAAAAAGACCACATATGGAAGAGAATCTCGTTACAATAACGGGTCCCGTTGACTGACCTGCGTCGAAGATTTGAGGTCTGTACGACTACCAAGCATGATGCTCCCAAACGA